GAGGAGGAGGAGGAGGAGGAGGAGGAGGAGGAGAAGGAGCAGGAAGAGGAGGAGGAGAAGTTGGAAGAGAAGGAGGAGGAGGAGGCGGAGGAGGAGGAGGAGAAGGAGGAGCAGAAGGAGGAGGAGGCGGAGGAGGAGGAGGAGGAGGAGGAACTTGAGGAGGAGGATGAGGAAGGGGAGGACGACGAGGATGCTGAGGATGAGGAGGAATAGGACCAGGAGGATGAGGAGGAACAACATGAAGCTGCTGCTGCTTTTGCTGATGGGATATTTTACATAGTGAAGCATGTGTTGCAGCGCAGAAGGGCCGTACTTGTGTCGGCTCAAGCTCTCAATCACCAGATGCAACACATCTGGTGGGAAGGTCTGAAGGATTCCATTGTGGTAGGCATCCACTACTACACTGCCTCGCTGGCGGCGGTCTGCCCCGCCTGCCCCGAGGCCCACTTCCCCAGCCTCCCTGCGCGTCCGCCATTGAGCTGTGGGAACTGCCGTTGCCCCGAGGGATCGTCTATCCCTTACGTGGCCGCCACCGGGGCCCTCATCGCCGTAGGCTTCCTGACCTTCGGCTTGGCGGTGGGCAGTCTCATCGGGTTCCTCGCAGGCCGGCTTCTGCCAGCTCTGGCTTGCCCGCGGCGCACTGCAGGCGCGGGCTCGCAGGGGCCGGCGCCGCCGGCTCGCGAGCCGAAGGGCGTGGCGGCGGCGCTGCCGGACGTGACGCACCTGCCGACCTCCGTGGTGGGGGAGGACTTCGCTGCTGAGGCGCGGGCCCAGGCCGCCGCCGTGCGCGAGAGGCGCGCGGCCGTGGCCCTTCGCGGCTAAGCATGGCGGCGCCTGGCGCTGGCCCCCTCCTGGTCCCTCCTGGGGCGGCCGCCGCGCCCCCTGGGCCTGGCGTGGCGTGGCCTGCTGCACAGCCGGAGCTGGCCCATGCGCTCACGGCGGCGGGCGTCTTCGAGGGCGACTTCATCGCGGTGAAGTACGACGTCGCGGGTGCAGCTTTGTGGCACGAGAGGTGCGTCCTGCTGATCTCCAGCCAACCACCGCACTCGTTCACGGGGTTCACTCCCGACGGCGACTGCTACGAAGAGGACCTGATGCCCGGGGGGGACATCGCGGCCTGGACCCCGCTCGAGGGTCGTGCTGCGGGCGGTGGTTTGCCGGCCCATCTGGCGGGACAACGAGTACACGGATTTCGTGCTCTGCCTCTCCTGCACACCTTCGTGGCTGCGCGGGCGGCGGCCGCTGCCCGTCTGAATGTTCTGCCTGCTGTCCACTTCGCTGTGAATGTCGGCCGTGCTGCGGCTGGAGGCCCGGCAGCGGCGCCCGCCGCGCTGGCCCCAGCAGGTCCCGCGGCAGCAGGGCCACCTGGTGGCTTGGCGCTGGGCGCTGCCCCTGGGGTGCCTGGGGGGGCTTTGGTGCCTCACGCCCCGGCCCCGGGTGGCGGCGGCCCGGCTCCAGGCGGCCTGGCGGGTCTTGCGGCCGTGTTGGCCCGGGCGGGGCCTGGCTTGGCGCCTCCCGGCGCTTTGGCACCCGGGGCCGTGGCTGCCCCGGGGGCGGGGGCCCCTGTGGGGCCCGCGGCCGGGGGCGGGGACCCTGGGGCCCCTGGCGCTCTAGCGGCGGGAGCTCCGCCGGTGCTCCCACCGGCGGCGCCGCTTCTAGACGCCAGGGTCCTGCCGATCATTCGGGATCAGCTGGGGCAGCGGCATTGCGTCTTCAGAGAAGCGGTGCTTCAGATGCGTGAGGACCCATGGCCCGACTGGCCTCTCTCGGGCCCTCGCACCGCTCTCTGGTGCTGACGTTTTATTTCGGAGAACAGCATGACTCCTTTGGGACACCACGTCCGCTGGCGTCAGGAAGCTGGACTCACCGACAGAGACCTTGGGGTTGAGGAGCATGAAAAATGTTGTAGGTCCCTGGAGCTCACTGCTGTGCATGACCGAGTCAATGTGCCCAATCACGCGAGCCTCGAGATAGTGCGCAGAGACCTCCAGATTCAGGAGGAACGGTATAGAGAGAGAGTCGCCAACCCCGATCAGGCCGGCATCGATCGCCACCTTTTCATGGGGACTGGAAAGGTTCGAGGGAACCTCTGCATTTGCCCTGACCTCCAGAGTTGGGTCACAGCCGAGCTGGCCCGCGAATATGCCATTGCCAAGGAACGTCGCAAAGCCCGTGAAGAGAGGGCCCTGGCTTGCAAGACCTCCAGTGCTGAGGAGAGTGGCAAGCCGGGGCCCGAGAAGAAATGAGAGCTGTGGGGGAGGAGAGCTTCAGGCCCCTCTCCTCCCCCCGCGCGCAGGGCCCGTCTTCGCTTTCCCGCGGACCGTGTAGTCCCTCGTCCAGGCGGGTGCAGCGGGACCTTTTTCCTCTGCCTCTCCCCCAGACCCAGCAATGTGTCGTCGGTGTGGCCAGGCCTAGCCGAAGGGTGTGGAGGCGCCGTCGGTGTCTGGAGCATGCTGATGCCTGGGCCGCGGATGGAGTCGCGGTTTTGAACGATCTCTAC